CCCCAAAACCCCAAAACCCCAAAACCCCAAAACCCCACTTTGTTATATAATTAGATCTTTGAAAATCATTAGATTCCAAATTAAATTCTATTTACTCAACGATTTAATTACTAGTTTTGAATGGGACCATATCTATTATTAATTATTGCAGAGCCACCATTCCCAGTTCCTCCAAATACACTATTATTATTAGTGTAAATCTAGCTGATATTGCTATTGAACATGTGAAGACTCTCCAGCATGATTAAGTAATCGAGTCTCTTCCAAACTAAAAATGCTTCTTACTTCAGATATTCCGGTTTAGCTCTCAGACCTGCTTTAATATCTATCACTCTTTGAATCTTATGCCTCACTTTATTGATGATTTTTATTTGATAGGCTTCATTTGACTCTTGACTATAGGCAAACTCAGCAATAGTCAATAGACTCTTTTTATAGTAAAATAGCTCTAACTTTCTCAAGCCCTTTTCAAGATTCTCTCCAACTATAAATAGATTCTTGTTTGAACCCATATAGCTTTGGGGATTACTGAGTATATTGAATTACTCCATACTAGTCGTGTAACTTAATGGGTTGGAGGAAATACTTCTATCAGGTATTTGTGTATTGCTATTTATAGTCTACATTTGTATCTATTGCTGCATCTATCTTTCTAACTATTACTGATTCTGCTATTGCTACTTTGTCTGCTTCTGTTTCAAGAAAAATTTGAATTTCTCATTATTTTCCTTTGACTTTTCTTTCTGCTACTTTTTATCTTGTGTTGTTCTTGATGCCGAACGGGTATTAATGTTTAAAAAGTTAGATAAGTTGTTCTGCTTATTAGTGCTCTATCTCTTTTTCTGCAATTGAGCCTCTTTTATTTAATCCTTTCTCTACTGTAATTGCATGGCAAGGCTCGATTTTTCTTCTGGAACAGGATCAAGAGATTACTACGGGCTTTTTATATGCTTTTAGCTTTTGTTACTATTAAGAAGGGGCTACTCCTTTTGTGGTTGATGCTATTCCTAGTTTTAGTTTTAGTTTCTTTTCATTTAACTATTAGTGATTCTGGTTTTGGCTTTATCATCTTTGGCTCCTGAAAGTTATGGCTTTTCAACAGATTTTCTTGTTTAATTGTTTTTAGCAGACTTCGTCACACTATTTTTAGCTACTTTTTGATTGCTTTAACTTTTTTAATTTGAGTTCTACGACAGATACTTATTAAGATGATTAGACGTGAGACTGCTCTTTAAATTTCTAGAGACTGGTCTTTTTTCATTATTATTGCTTGTAGAACCTTGCCTTATTTAATTGCTTTTACTTGGTGACTCAGTAACTTTAAGACTTTGATATGATTACTTCATTCCATATACACTGGCGCTTTCCTCATCAATTTGAAGATTTGTAATCTTTTCATCTTATAGAAATTGAAACAAGTTGCTCTTTAGCATTTCGTTCTTTTAACCAAGAGGAGCGATTTTAAAGTCATCGCACTAGTCAAGGGAGTTATCGTATCTATTTCTCCTGCCATTACTCGTGCTTCTATGAGTGAAAAGGCTATCTCTGCCTCCGCCAAGCCCTCCAAGATTTCCACCAAAGCTCATTTTAGGCTTGATAAGTATCATTTATTCTGAAGAATTATTTAGCTGATCGTTTGTATCTAAATTTAGCTTCTCATAGTCATAATACTAATCCTCCTCTTCCTCATCTTATTAAGAGTATCTTAAGTTCTTCTAACTTGCAACAGAATTATTGCCAGAATTACTTTTACTATGATTACTAAAAAGTCTAACTGGCATTTGACTAAAGCTAGAGGTTGCTTGGAATAAGTTCATAGGCTCTGATTTCTTCTTCTTACAACTATTCTCCTAGTTTTATTAAATTCTAGGAGGTAATGGTGGCTATTGGAGATTTCTCTTTAGCTTCTCAGCTTTTATTGTTAACTAAACATTTAAACTCCATTAAGTGAATGCTTTTAGCAGAGAGTCCTTGTATATTTTGAAAGTTATCATTTTAACTAGATTTAAGCCTATCTTTTATCGCGTCTTTTAAATCAAAATTTCCTGACTCTATTTATTCAGATGATCAAACATTCCTTTTATGTGTTTAAGATATTGATAATTGAGAACTTAAAACCCAAATTCAAAAGCTTAAGTTCTGAGAGCAAAATTCTTCCATCTGTAGAAAAATTCTCTATCTTTCCTCGATTTATCTAGATAGCCATAGATTTTAGCAACTGATGACATCTTGCTGATTGCTTTATTAACATTTTCATTCTATTCAATTTCTTAAGAATGTTAAGTCAACTGTTCCAATGAATAGTTCAATAAATGATTCTGAACATTTTACAGCTTATCATAGATCATACAAGTTGCCTAGATCTTTTTTGATTAGTTTTGCTCAATAGCTCTCTAGCAATAGTGATAATCTTTAAGTCTGTTGAAGGCATCTTAAAGATTATTTGATCTTTATTTTTGAATAATATTAGAAAGAATCCTCTTCTAGAATTACTGCTTTATTATTTACTTTTCTTTTTATTTCTTTGAATCTATAGTGTTTAGTTTCCATCTGATAATATATCTTTGCATCTATTTATAGTTAATTGACTTCAATTATCTAATCAGTTGCTTCATCGACTCTTTCTGCTTTTATTGTCTGATTTTCTTTTGATAAACGAATGTCTTTATATATTAGAAGGACTCATTTACTTATCTTATTAAAACATCAGTCTCAACTTTTGAAATAGTATGCACTGATAAGATTTTACTAGATTTTGCTTGTGCTAAAGATTTGAAATTTCTCAATATTGCCTTTTACTTTAATTTTGCTGAATGCTTAAAAATATTTTTTAGACCATGAATTTAAGAACTCATATGCCTAGAAACACCTCTCCATTTTCTAATAGCATAAGCTGTTTGAGACCTCTCAGTTTTTAGAATTATTGTTGCAAGCATTGACATCATATAGTTTTACTTTACTATCTTTTACTTCCAAATTTAAATAATTTCAAACATCATTTGAACTAGCCTATGTTCTTCTTATACTGCTTGCTTTTAGAATACACCATAAAGCAGTTCTTCAGCTTTCTTCTTTTATAAAATGATATTCATCCATTTATTGAACCTCAACTGAAGCTAATCTTTTTCTTTGGCTTCTTTATTCTTAATCATTACTGTGAGATTTATCCTTATAAGTTTTTATCTGATCATTAAGTCTTTCCATTTTTTAAAGTTTCTTGCCTATGCTACTTACTGATTTTTATAACTAATTTTCTTGAACACTTTACTTAATTTCTAATGTGTTATAGATCTTAGCTTAATTTAATTAAATCCATCTTAAAGCTTAGACCATATTAAGTCAATGAATAGCTACTCGACTTACTAATTCCTTACCAGAGTTCTTTCATTATTGTATTTAGTTTGCTCAAGTTATATTAAGTATTGTGTCTCACTTTGCCAAATATCAAATTTTTGTTGAGCAGTTTTTTGATTGAATTTTTTAATTATTGCTTTAATTTTTTTACAGGACAAAACCTTTAATTAAACTTCTTTGTTCTTATTCTAAGTAAATTTAATCCACTGTTTGAACATCAAAAGGATCTCTGCTCTTTAAATGGCCTTCTCATACTTGTTAAAAACTTTTATCATTGAGTTTAATTTAGTGCTTAGAACTTAGACTTTGTTGTAATGCTATCTCAGCCCTGCTAAACCTTATTTCTGGAGATGAGATTTAGAAATTTTAAAGACTCTATTTATAGATGAAGTAATGATCTTGTTTCTTTGAAGTAAGTATTCGTTATTCAATAATTCTACTTGCTCTCTATAATGATTTTTCCTTATGCAAAAGTTTATAATTTCTTTAATAGTATCTTTCATATTAAATTGGATTCTATCATTTAACACTCTTGCCATTTTATGCATTTTCTAATCGAAAGCGATTCTGAAAGTGATCTTTCTGAATTTTTAGAATTTCTTGTTCATAAATTTACTCAGTTTTTTCTTGAAAATATTTTGAATTATTTGTATTGATAACTCTCTTTGCTCTTCTTTGTATTTCCTCCTCTTCAAAATATATTCCAGCTTTATGTTATCAAAACTTTCCTTCATAGATAGCTTTACCTTCTATCGTATTAAAAGTGAAAGTTTCCCAAATTGATTGTTAAGTTGATCCATCTTCTTGTTATATGACTATTCCTTGATAATTTTAGCGATATGTTGCCAGATTTTAAAGTATTGTAATACATAATCTTTCATTGTGATATCTTTCTTTTTTAATGAGCTAAGCATTATAGTCATTGATTTTGAGAACTGTAAATTTTTTTTGAAATCTCTCAAATATTACCTAAGTAGGCACTTCTGTTTCAGCTTTTTGAGATGCATCAATTTTGAAAATTCTATTTGCCTCTTAATCAAGCTTACAAATCCACTCTTAAGATTTTTTACTTTGACTTGAGATACCATGAATATTAACTACTCAGCATTTTACCTATATATCCTTTGCTTAAGATCATCTTTAGGATCTACAAGATTTTTCAAATCTTCAAGTTCTTTGAGCTGATTTAACCTCCTCTAAGAATTAACTTTGAACTAACTATCAGTTTACTAGATGAGCTAAACTTCAATTATCTCTTCACATTGCTCAGTAAAATTAATACTTCCATCCTTTTAACTTTAAATGTTATTAATTGGGCTATTACTAAAATGTTATTAAGAAGATTCCTATTGATAAGAGTCTTCATTTTTGCTAGCACAGAAACTCGGGATTTCATCTTGTTGAATGTTTTCAATGATATTAATCTAAAGCAAATTTGACTTTGTTTAATTATTACTAAAACCCAATCTCTATTTCAGTTCATCTAATTTACTTTATTTTGGAGCCTCAAACTTGATGGAGTCATTAAACTAAGAATCAAGTTTCATAATAATGCTACTGTTGTTATGTGCCTCTATAATCTAATCCGCTTAAACAATATGATTTATTTACTTGGCCTCCTCCTCAATACTATCTAATTTTTATCCTTCAAATTGTTCCATCAGTAGCTACTTTAACTTATCCTAGAATTTGGGTCTGCTATTTTTGTCACTCTGATTATTACTATCTAACCTTCTTGAAAGTGTTGGTGGCGATATGAAACTCTTAACGCTTAGAGTTGGAGTTTTGTTGAGTAAAGATGATTATGATTAGACATTAATAAAATTTCTTTTGAAATCTGGCGAGTGTTAGCCTCCTTATAGTGATCCACTTAAATTCTGATGGTTACTAGCATTAGAGCTATTTGCTTCATCAGTATCAAGACTATGCTTCCTGAAGAAGGGATTTTCACTAAATGACATTTCAACTATATCTGGTTGCTTATTGAATTTATACCCTATAATCATCTTTTGGTTTGCTTGTTCATTTCCATTTTTATTGAGATAGGATCCAACATTCTTCTTAATTGCTGGTAAGATTATGGGTGCCTCCTCAATTTTAGGTTTGTATAGCTAATAGTCTTCCTCCTAAAGAGTCAAATTATTTTATTAGGAGGGAGAACTTTCTTGATACTGTTCCTCAATCACAGGGAAATTATAATTTGCTTGGCTGAAGCTTTAAGTTGGGTAGAACTCCTTGACGCTGTTTTAACTTTCTTGCTCATTAAAAATTCTCTAACTTTCATTGATTTTTTCCTCCTCTATCTCCTCTTCGTCACTATTATATCTATTGTTTTGAGGTTTTAATTTCTTATTCGATTCAAAATTTCCCTCCACATCTTAAAATTAGATCATCTTAAACCTATTTTCTTCCAAGCTATCATCAAAATTTCTTTGCTCATTGGTGATATTATCTACATGAAAAGTCTCTTCTTTACCAGGAGTCTCATAGAGTGAATGTAACACCTCTTAATTCTCATTATCTCGAACTTAGAACTAATTATCCTGTTCAATCTAAATTACTTGGACAGAATCTTCAGCCACATACTAGTCGAACTCCATGAGACTATCTTTAATTCTTTGCCTCTTCATTTCAAACATCGCTCGAAACACTGAGACTTTATCCTCTAGCTTAGACTATTATTGATTTGCATTTGAATTTTCCAAGATTGAATAATTATTCGCTATTGACTCCTTATTCTAATTTTAAGCTAGAGATAAGCTTGGCTTCATTAGATCGAAGAGTTCTTTTCGCTGTCTCATTATGTCATCTCTCATCACTTTCTTTTATATATCATCAAATATGTTTCCAATGTATCTGTAGATTCTATTTATGATTAGCTTCATTGCATCTTTTTTATATGAAGCGACCTCCTCTGTAGCTCCCTATCTCCTAGTGTTGTTATTGACCTTGTTAGGCAAATTTCCATATTTAAGCAATAGAGCATCTCTATTCTGAGGCACAGCTATGTTTTAAGTTTAAAGTCTCTTGCTCTTATTTGATATCATCTTTTAATGAAGTTTTAAAAATTCCTTTGTAATGTCCTTTTTTTGATATTTAGTTGAGAGTGAATAGTTGCTCATTGCTATTGAATCCTAGTTGCCTTCGTCACTTAATGGATCTATGTTCTCGTTTTGTTATTTCTCACCACCCCAATCAAGCTATCGAAGTCTTGGCTTAAACGATGAGGACCTTAACTCTGCTGATTATTATTGATGCTGTGGCTTCATCTTATAATTTAAATCTATATTTTTGATTTTTAAATTGAATTCGTTTAAATCTGTCATTAATTGAAATGACGGGGTTTTGGGGTTTTGGGGTTTTGGGG